GAAGAATATATAAAGCCATTCAACGTGCTCAGTATTTTTACAAAGATGGTGATTCCGAGATAATGTTACAGTACTTTTGAAATTTACACGCATCTTTTAATTTGTCAAAATAAACTCTTACTGCTGTTCAAGCATTTAAAAAGAAAACATCCCATTTGGTTTGAGTATCCAGCTGAAGCTCAGTTTATCAGTATATTATATAAAAAAATATGCCTACCCTTTTTTATGTCACATTAGAAGGATTTTTAAGCAGATGGGCATATTTCCAAATACAAAGCCAGCTGAAGACTGCTAAAGATATATATGCTGGCTGCATAGAAAATGAACTCTTTGAACTACTCATTGTGTGTGAGCTTGCACTCTGCTACAAACAATATATATATTATTTGGTGTGAATTAAACTAAATCTTTTAGGACTCTTGCGGAGAAAAGTTTAAACAATACAAAGAAAATGGTAACCTCTAAGTACTTTGAACAACACTATATAATGTATTCAATTCCATTTGACTTCTCTATAAAGATAGTCAGTCTGTGCTTCATTACCCTGTGTTGGACTGAGTCACCTAATGATACTTAGATAAGCCCCTCACGCCTCTTACCAGGAAGTAAAATTATACAATATGGCTACCAACAGAAAGAAATAATCACAGACTCATATAAACGGAAGAGACCTCAGGAGGTCACCAAGTCCAACCCCTTGCCCAAAGCAGGACCAACCCCCAAAAAACATCCCAGCCAAGGCTTTGTCAAGCCGGGACTTAAAAACCTCTAGGGATGAAGATGTTACCACCTCCCTAGTAACCCATTCCAGTGCTTCACCACCATCCTGGTAAAATAATTTTTGCTAATGTCCAACCTAGACCTCTCCCACTGCAACTTAAGACCACTGCTCCTTGTTCTGCCATCTGTCACTACTGAGAACAGCCTCTTTCCATCCTCTTTGGAACCTCCCGTCAAGTAGTTAAAGGCTGCTATCAAATTGTGCATCCACTTTTGTGTTTCTATTGGTGGTGCACATTAGGGATCAGATAGGTTAATTCAATCATGTACCAAACTCAGGATAATGTTAAAGAAATGAGGGACTCACAGAAGGGAAAAGTTTTAAATGGCTAAAGATGGTTTGGCATGTGTTTCAGTCAATACGATACATTCAGTCAAATGTCCATGCTGCTGTGCATTTAATTCTTGGTACAGCTCAGTGCAATGTTCCCTGTAAGCTGTGTGCTTGTGCATCCACACAGGAGGGATTTAAATGCCACCCACTTGATTATCAGAGCACTCACAACTAGCTTTTGTGTTTCTATTGGTGGTGCACATTAGGGATATAATCATGTAGTCGATCAACCAATTAACTGATAAGCAAAAGCTTATAGGTTAATTCAGCATTTCTCCAACTGTGGGTTGCGACCCCCCTGGGGATCGTGAACAACTTAGAGGGGGGTCGCAGCTGGATTCAGTTTTTCACTTGCGACCCCTCTCTCCCGGGCCACGAAGAGCAGCGGGGTAGCGGAAGGCAGCCACTGGCAAGCCATGCAGTGTGGCCAGGGCCGCGGGACTCCAGGAGCGCAGCTCAGCTGCAGCAGGAGGCAAGGCGGCGGGAGAGTGAGGCCGGCGCCAGAGCACACATGCAAAAGGCCGGCTGGGGCACGGTTGCCGAGCGACCGAACGCTTCCCCAGCTGGGAGAGGGCAGGGTCCCTCAGGCAGCGGGCTGGGGGACTGGGTCGGGGCAGAGGACCCAGAGGTAAATAAGGGCACGTGGAGGTCAGAGGAGCAGGCAGAGGAGACACCGGAGATGAGTGGAAGACGGAGGAGAGGAGAGAGAGAAGGAACCAAAGGGACGCGGAGCAGAAAAGAGGCACAGAAGAGAAAGAGAGGGGGAAGGAGCCTGCAGCGGGGAAGGGCGTTGAGGACCGCAAATGCCTTGAAGGAACCCCAGGAGGGCAAGGAGTCTGGTGAGAAGGAGGGAAGAAGCGACCCAGGGCAATGAGGGTGGGGGGGGGTCACACACATTCATTTAGCATTTTAGGGGGTCATGGTATCACAAAGTTTGAGAACCCCTGGGTTAATTCTATAGACTACAGGCATTTCCCTCCCCTCCCCCTTCCAGAAAAGTTTTTAGCAGGTTGGCCCTCAGCCCAGCTCAGTCCTGGCTTGCGATGGGTCTGGGACCTACCCCTGCTGCAGCTCTGCATTTAAAGTGTATCAGGAGGCGGGCAGGCAGCCCGACTCAGTCCCAGCTCGCGCTGGGTACAGGAGCTCAGAGCCCCGCCTAGATGGGGGCTGCTGCCTCTTTATCAGAGGCAGCAGCAAAAGGTGACAGGAAGCCGGTTCTCATAGGGAGCTAGTTTTTAAATGGGCTCCCCTTGCGGACCAGCTCCCACCTGACATCCCGTGCTACTGCCCCTGATACAGAGGCAGCAGTATGGAGTGGCAGGGGGCTCCTCAGGCATGAGGCTGGAGCGCCCTGGCTCCCAGCCCCACCCGTGGAGACTATAAGACTTCATGAGGTTACTCGACTATTCAATTAACTGATATTTAACATCCCTAGTGCACATTCGCACATGCCTCAGAACACATACAAATTATTCTGCACTTGGATGGAAAAAATCTGCACACGAATGAAAAGATTATAGGGAACACTGGCTAGATGTATCAGAGCTGGTGGATTGAAATTTAAACATTATTTTCAATCTGGAAGGATAGTGGAATAAATTGAACCCTTTGGGGAAAAATATTAACCAGCAGAGCAAACTAATCCCAACACAAGGGAATTTCACTACAGCCCAAACTTATGAAGGGCAACCCCGTCCTCTTCCCCTTCCATTGGTTAGATATATGAATTTCTTTTGAAGCTGTTTTTCTGCAATGAAGGTACATCAAAGCATCTAACTGATGCCATTCTCTTGGCACATGCCACCTTCACCATTATATTTCACTTGGTTTTATAACTTGATACAGCTGCTCTGTAGCCAACTGATATACCACTAATGTCTCCTGAACTTTGGGCAGTCCTTATGCACTGTGCTGCTTGGAATATGAATGAAAGTAATCTTACATCATTACAGCAAAGTTATAATATACCCATGATCCAAAAAAATGGGTAATAAAACAAATATGGAAATACACATCGTTTGTAAATACACACAGTTTGTTTCCATCCCCAATTTATATTATGGTGGGAAAAGTGCACAGAGTATTAACCTTAAATAACCCAGTCTCAAATCTTAGCTGTACTGTGTTTGCCACCGAGTGTATTAGAATTAAGATGAAACCAGATTCTATGATCAAACTGAGAACAAATATAATAATTTCACAAGACTAGATGTTTCCTTTGTCAGCATTAGTAATGAGTTCTCATATGCAGGATTTTCTCTGCTAACAGGATCATATACCATATGGACTAGTTAATGCTGCTGCCATCTATTTGCATCCTGTAAGTAGGCACAGCAAGAAACCAGTCCTGCTATTACCACTGAGTAGAGGGATTAGTACACATGCAAGGAAGTCATATGGAAGTGTGCTATCATGTTTTAAAGAGAAAAAGTCATTTGAACATCTCTGTCAGCATATACCAAACATTTGTACTGGCCTTATGACAACCCCAAAAAAGATAAGGGTGCAATAAATCCTACTGCTGTATTTGACAACAGCCAACCATGGCACTAATTTGCTTTGAATATAGGAAAGTATACACCAGCTTGTACAAAAGCACTGATACACATGCACCTAAAGTTAAAATGTACAGTTTACTATTGGGTATCTTACAGTCAAGAAATGTAAAGTGTCTATAATGCTAGAGAGTATAGCCTATAGGAGGCAGAATGCCATTTATCATAGGCAGCTAAGAGCTGTTCTTTGTTCACCATCTAAGTACAGTCTGTCTAAAATCTACACTGAGGCATAAAGAACTGAAGGGCTGTATTTCAGCAATATAATGCCTGAGGAGTTAAAAGAGAAATAATAGCCAGTTACAGTAGCTTCAGAAAATACCGTTGCTACAGTATGTGGGACCAACATATACAGACAGCACTGTGGACAAACGTTATTATGAGGAAAACTACATAGCACGTCAGCTTTGCAAGACTGTTTATGCTCAGATAGATTTACGTCTTTCTTTTAACCCTCAGAGAAAAGCTATCAAGCTTGGGGAATAAACTCCCCCTGAGACTGACAAATCAATGACGTACTACCAAAATGTGACTTTACAAGAACCTTTCAAGGACAGACAGATCCTATCGCCATGTGCAAATGCAAAGCATGCCATTTTCAACCAGCACAAGCAGTAAAGCAACAAATCCTTTCTACCACACTTCCAGTTGCCATTCCCAATGGAAAGCAGCAGCCACCGCATGGGCCCGGTCCCAAAGTAATAAGCCAAAATAATACAAAACCTGCGCTGCTCCGTACCCAGATCTTTGGGCTACAAGCAAAGTTCAGTAAACAAAAGCACTGTCTTGTGATAATGCCAAAACTTTTCGGAAAGCTGCCGCCCCCTCCCTATGGCACCCCCCCTCCTCTTTGCTCCTCTCTAGCAACTGCTCTGTGATGACAGCCGAGAAAGATGAAGTTATAAACCGGATAAGACGAATACCGCAGGCTCAATCATCCCCCTGGCTCGCTGCCTCTTTTTCTGAATGCAAAGATCAGACTTTTTAGCAGCAGTGGGACCCTGCTCGCTGGCTTGCTTCGTTTGGACTCACCCGGGCACTTCCCTGCCCCATCCCTTCAGTTACAGGCGAGCAAGCCACGCACAAAGAGAAACAAAACGAAACAAAAATAGCCTCCACCTCAAGCCATCAGGCCAGTCTCTCTTTCTCCCTCTCTCCCTCCAAGAAGAGAATAAAAGTGTCTCAGGCAGCTCCACTATTTTACACATTGCAACAATATCTGCCCAGGGTCAGACCACTGGAGGGGGGAGAGATGGGAAAAAGGGGAGAGGAAAGCAGGCAAAGGCCCAGCAGGTAATAAAGAAAGCGACCCATCGGACGGGATCTCTTACTCTGCCTCTTGGTATTAAGCCCCCATCCTCCAGCACGCGGCTGTGGGTCTCCCCGCTACGATCTGCAGCATCTGTCTCCAGAAGGAGCCTGCGCGACTCCCCTGCTGGCTCCGGAGTGCTTCGTGCCGATCTACTAAGAGGGAGGAAATAGGCTTGTCACTTCCTGAACTGTTCTCAACTAGTCCCTTTAAAACGCACCGAAGGGCAGGGCGGCGCGGCTGCCGCGTCGAGGTTACATTTCATTGCACCCGCGGGCTGGTCATCAGCTGGCCCCGGCAGCCTCCCGACTTCAGCGTGGTGCACCCTGGAGCGGTGGCGTGGAGGGGCCGGGAGCCGCTTTTCTCCGTGTCAGAAGGGGGGGTGGCTTGGAAACGTCTTGAGTCTGACTTTGGCTAGAGGGCGTTGTGCGCTGGGCAATGTGCAATGTGCCGCCTGGGCGCCGGGGAGCCGGGCGGCACGGGGGAGCATCCCCCCAACAAGCCTACCCGCGTGTCTGGGCGCCGCCCCGGGCCATCGCCTTGCCTCCTCTGTCTTCGGGGCGGGAAGCTGGGTCGTGGCTTTACCCCAAATCTGCTGCTAGGGTCTGGTGTCCCCGGGCAGCAGCAGCCCCCATGAGTCTAAAGAAGTGGGCTGTGCCCACGAAAGCTCATGATACCAGCTACCTGTTTTGTTAGTCTTTGAGATGCTACTAGACTATTTTTTTTAAGTTTTTCCTGTTCCAGACTAACTCAGCTACCCCTCTGAAGCCTCTAAAGTTTTTGTCACATTCCATCAAGGAAGAGGGGTGTGCGAGTGTTTTTTTGATCCATGGTATCTAAGCATCCCTCCCCTGCCCCATCGTTCACAGCTCGGAGGGGGGAGACGGGCTGTTTATGTTAACCTGAAGCAGCACCCATATGTTAGTGATGTTTTGCTGTTTGCTATTGTCAAGCAAAACATTTTAAGTACCCTGGTTGTCTTTAGGTCAGGCATCCAAGCTTTATATCCAGTGTAAACAATTCCTAATTAAAATTATCTATGGATGAGTGAGTGTATGTTTTCAGGCGCATTTTAGAAATTGGCATTGCTTGCTCATCTGATACATATTGCAATTGCTTTACACAAGGTAATGAAGTCAACTTTACATTTAACAGAATAATGTTTTAAGTAAAAAGTTTATATTAAGAAGTGCTACCCTGCTCTACTTATTCTCTTTTATCATTTAAAACCCTCTAAAGGAGTTTTAAACCCCCTGTAGTTTGACCACTTGTGTATTCACTAATGCAAAAAGGCCAGACATTTGATTGTGGGACTTTTCTGACTATTCCTTGGGGTCTAATCAGCTATCCAGTGAAGTTTGTACCACATAAATGTAAAATAAAAAATTAAAGGCTTTGTCTGTACAATGAGATTTTGAACTTGTGTATGCTCCTACAATTCTAATTCACCATCACCAAAGCATACTGGAATTTTATTTATTCTAAATGCATCATTCTCAGAGTCTTAAGAGTTAACATTGATTTTATTATGTCAAAAATTAGAACTAGCAAGTAATAGTAGGGAAATACCTGGGTCTACTCACTACTCCCACCAGATATTGCTGCAGGGTAATGAGATTAAGAAGTCTGAGGCAACTTGATACAAACTGTTCCAAAGCTTTGTTCTTTCAGCCTTCAGGATAAATGTAACTTTTATCCCAGGAAATAGCATTACTTATTACATTTTTAAAAATCTGGCAACCAGATCATGCGGAAGTGTAATCCAGTTGGGGGCGTGGCTTCTCCTCCTCCTTGTCTCTGGGCGGACACTCTGCCTCACTGCATGATGACCAGGTGCCAGACTTGCAAAATCAGCAAAGCAACCAGCTCCATGAGCACGGGTCTCTGACTGACAAACACAGTCAGCCTATGCCCTGGGTGCATCAAAGAAAGGCAAGGGCCCCACCCAGAAGATGAAACCTCTGACCACCCCCCTTTTCCTGTCTTGTAGCATCCTTCTCCCCTGCCCCTAGTGGGGAGAGATGGTTGCCTCTTCCTTTCCCCCCAGCTTCCTCTGCTACTTGCTGCAATGGAGAAGTGCTCTACCTCTGCTGAGCTTGTGGTCCGCCCCTGCTACTGCCCCTGACACCTCTGCAGCTGACTTCTCGACCTCTAATTCGAACTCCACCATTGCCATGGTTGCCATCCCTCTGGCTCAGGGGGAGCCCCCTTCTCAGCCAGTAAAAAGGACCAGGGGAACAAGAAGGGCAAGGTCCCCACCCAGAAGGTGAAACCTCCCATGGTTGGGACACCCCCCACTGCCAAAGTCCACCATAGTCCCTTTCTCCCCTGCTGTTCCCTCCGCCAGCTCTTCCCTCTGTTCCACCTATGGTCCCCACAGCACATGCTCAGGTGGCTGCAACCCCTCCACATGCCGCTGCATCCTCTGCCCCAACCACTGCCTCCAGCTCCATCTTCAGAAAACAGGGGCCCTTCTCCTCCCTGATCAGGAGGCATGACATCCATTGCCTCCTGGTATCAGCCTTGCCTCACCTTGAAATCTATGTGCCAGCATTTGTGAAGGTGATGGGGCCTCGAAGACATACGGGAAGGTCATCTTCCTGGCATTGTAGGCCGCCACCCAGGAAGCAATAGAGAGAAGCCTGGCGGTGGGGGACATGTACCAGCCCCTCAAACCTCTGGAGGACAGGTGATGCTGACCTCCATTCCACCCTTCCTTCCATATGGTGCCCTCTTGCCTATCCTCTCCACCCTGGGGAAGCCCACCTCCATCATTAGCCTTCTCCCAGCTACCCCAGCAGTGTGTGACAAGGCAGTGCGCAAGTGGTCCTTCCTGGTGCCCTACAAGGGTACCCACTATCGGGTCCATTACTACTCGAGTGAGGCCTGATGCTACATCTGGCACATCTGAAGGGACTGCCCCTCCCTGCCCTGGAGAGGCATCAGGGACCCCCAAGACGCAGGAGGGCCCTGGCCCTGCCACAACCAGTGCCCCTGGTGGCCTGGCTCTTACAAATGCCCCTCCTTCTGCCATTGCTCCTGCTCAGGCTCCAGAGATAGCTCCTCTGCTACACCTAGGCAAGTGGGCAAGCCCTGTCTTTGCTGGCTGCTGTTTGGTGGGGCCTGTGGAGGAGAAGGTGGTGGGGTTGTTGCTGGGGGCAAGAGAGCCCCCATTACTCTTCCCTTGCCTCCGGGACCCCTACATCCATTGCCTGTGCCCTCTTGCACTCCCCCTCCTAATCAGCCCTCTGCTTTCACCTTGAGGGGCTGGCCACTTGTCTGGGGCAAGTGCAGTGTCCGCAAGTCCCCTCTGATGAGAAGGGTGAAGAGTCCCTCTGCCACATCTTCTACCGAGCCCAGCAGGTGGACTAGGACGAGACCATCATGGCAGCACGAATGGGCAGGGATGGTCTGTGGATGGCATCTCACTCATGGCCACTGAGCGCCTACAGGCAACAGCCAGGCCAGAGCCCATGGACACATCCCCCGCCTTTGGGGCAGAGTGGCTGCCCTCCCTTCCTGATGGGGCAGACTCCAACAGGCCTAATGCTATGTTTGCAGATGCTCTGCTTGTTGCGGTGCCTGGGCCTGGTGTTGGTGAGCACTCCCTTCCCCTCCCTGGCCCCTCGGTCCCAGAACCCAGTCGAGGGGCGCCGTACCTCGATGGTTTAGCTGCTGGGAAATATCATCTTATTTCTGCCTGTGACCCTGCCCCACCCCTGACTCCAGTCCAACCCATCTCCACTGCTGGCCCCAGCTCCACTCCTATTTCCACCACCAGCCCCATTCCCATTTCCATTCCCAATGTGCTGTCCACTCCCCTCCCCTCCACTTCCCATGCTGCTGTTGCCCCCAGGGTTGTTTTGTTCCCTTACTTATAGATATCCCTTTGAGGGCAGTTTTCCTGTCTCCCCTTCCTGATCCTGTAGGGGCTGCTCTCTTCCCTCCACTGCTCCCTCCCTTGCTGGGGATGGGGATGGGGACGGGCTGCATCGCACCAATGCTGCACCAGGGGTCCACCCCTTGTTTGTCTCTGTTGGCAGTAAGGTCCTCCCACAGACTTGACAAGAGAATGGCAGTGAATCTACTGCTCTGTCCCTCGCTGTGGGGCGGTCTGCACCACCTCCTCACAGACACCCGTGGATCTCAGGGGAAGGTGCAGCCTGCTCTTCAGTGCCTGGGGGCGCTTCCAGCTTGTCCCTTGGACTGCAAGGGCTCTTTCGCAGGAGGAGAGGGAGGACACCAAGGCAAGACATCGCCACCTAGTGGCAGGCCCACAAATTCTGTCTCCCTGTTGGCTTTCAGGGTTGGGAGCAGATTGTTGCAGGCTCTGTGGGGAGCTATTGACACCCCTGCCCGTGAGGATCCTCTCTAGCCCTCATCATGAAACTCACCATCTTTGCCCCCTTAAACACCTGGGGTGGATCTCCCCAGGAGCTGGGTGCTTTCCTGTCTTCAGGAGAGGAGTTTCTCTGTAATCTTCCTGCAGAAGACCCACATAGCTGCAGCCATCAAGGCTAGCTGGAGTGGGAGACATTAGCCACTGCCCACCTGCCAATTCAGCTGGGGTGGCCACCCTGTTCTCCCCTGATCTATGATCTGAGGTTCTGGGAGTCCCCAAGGCTACCTGCTGCATGTCCAGGCCTGCAGGGAGGGGCTGACATCTTTGCCTCAAATGCAGGCCTGGACCATGTGCAATTCTATTGGCAGGCATCCACCTTCCTCAACACCTTGGGTCATGAGTGTCTGGTCCTGGGCTTGGACTTCAACACCACCCTTGAGGACCAGGATTACTCTGGACTTGAGAACTGCCAAAGCACCATGAGTGTTTGCAGGGAGATCCTGCATCATCACTCCGTGGTGGACATTTGGCAAAACCACCACCTGGATGACAATACCACCTTCATCTATGTCACATCACTCCCAATTGGACTGCATCTACCTATCCCATTTCTATCTAGCATGAGCCCACTCCTCCAGATGGCCTTGTGTCAGACCACCAGTTGGTGGCCATGATGCCTCCCTACATTTGGAGAGGTGGAGCCAGCCTATTGGCACTTTAATAACAGTTTGCTGGAGAATGTGGGCTTTATGGCATTCTTCCAGGAGTTCTGGATGGCTTGGCAGGGGCAGTGGCCCACCTTTCCCTTGGCACAGTGGTGGTAGGCTGTGGGGAAAGTGCATGCCCAGTTGGACTGCCACAACTACACCTGGGCCTCCACCTGGCTGAGAGATGCAGTGATAAAGCAGCTGAACAGGAGCTCTTAGAGCTAGAGAGGCATCTGGCCACCAGTCCTGGGGATCTACCCCACTGCAGAGCATAGCAGCAGAAGCAGGAGGAGCTCTGGGCCGTGGAAGAACACCAGGCCCAGTATTGGAGCTCTCCTGGACTATGACAGGAGGAACTGGGTGCATCCCTGAGCACTTGGTCAATTCATGCGACTTTCAACCTTTCATGTGTATACTCCAGGAGATCACGGTGGCTTCCCCCTTCCCCCCTTTCCTTTTCATGGAGAGATCCCTGCAAGAGGCTCTCTGGAACTTTTTATCGGGCCCCTGTTCTACAAG